GATACTGCCGCTCAGTGTGCACGACGGCACCCCAGCGACAAAGAATTACCTGGCCCCAAATGTTAACAGGGCCAGATGAGATCAGGCTTCAAAACGAGTCACACAGGAATGTCCGAGAGGCTTGGAGACCCCACGCGCACATTTTCACAACTTCCGACTCCAGCTTCCCCTCCGGGCCGAGGCTCTTTCTGTAATAACCGCCACCGAAGTGCCTACCTTTTTATCTCGACATCCTCTCCCCGGTCCCCATTTTCTTACCGGTGCGTACCTAAATGAATGTTGGGGCGGTGGGAGATGAAAGTAGACTCAGTGTTCAACTTTTAGCCCCAGTAAGATTTCAACAGGGACTTATGGATGGCAAATTACCGAGAAGGGGAAACTGAATCTTAGAGAGAATACTTAGGATGGACTCTCCCTATCCAGTCCCTGGTTTTCTAAGTCAACATGGCAACCCATTCACGGTGCTTCCTTCTTAAACTGAGGACAACAGAGAATCACTGCGGGTCGCCTAACAGAGTTCCATTTTAAAAATCAGTGCAACAGACCACAAAAAATGGTATCCACAAATAGCACAGTAGATGGTTTACAGGTGACCATAAGGTTCCAATCATCTTATTCCGCCGAGACAGAAAACAAGAATTAATAACCAAGAATAGCTGGTGACCTTAGGTCATGGCCCCCCATCCTCTTGCACGTTAGAATCATCAGAGGGGGGGTTAAGCAAACACCAAACAAAAGCAGACCCAGGCCCCGCCCCAGACCGAGTGCATCAGGATCTCTGAAAAGGGGCCCCTATGTCTCGACCTTCGAGATCGCAGAATCCACTTCTTTCCACCTGGGAAAAGAAAATACTTTCAGTAAGGTGTAATTAACTCCTAAACTCAGTAATCAGGCAATTCACTTGTTGCAGACTGAGGTGGAGCAGGGAACAAACAGTGAGAGGAGCAAAAATGAGCAGCCTCAGTTACAAGCCAGAGAATCTCCCCATCGCCATAAGAGCCTGTGCTCTGGATCCATAACGCCTACTGAGCCCTTTCTGAGACCTCCTCTAAACACGTTATTTTTACAGCACAATTAAACCTCACAACAACCTACTGAGATGGTAGTGTGCAAACCCCCACTTTATGTACAAGGACACGCGCTGGGGCACAGAGATGAAGCATGGCCTGCTCAAGTCATGAAGCTAATAAACAGCAACGGGACTCATTATCAAGGAACCTGGCCCCAGAACCCACACTTAGCCACTAGGTTGTGATGTCCCTACGTAGAGAAAACGAACCTCTACATGCGACAGAGATTCAGAGATAATCCAACCCTAAGGGCTAATCACATATTTCAATCAAGTTTGTCAGGGCAAGATGGGCCAAGCCTGCATACTTGGGCTTGGAAGATGGGGCAAGCCGCAGGGCCAGCCTCCTGCAGATTGGCAGCAGCCAGGGCTCACGTCCACCCCACTGTAAGGCCCTCCAACGAATCAAGGGTGCCAGGCAGGCATCCACTACGACCACCTTACGACGGTCCCTGAATCAAATCTCAAACCCGCCACACAGGATGTTACTTATTTTTAGTTACTTCTAAATTTGGACAAAGGCTGTGTCCAGCTTGCCCATTGTACAAATTGTCTCAGTTGTTTTCTTCCTTATTTTAACTGCAGCTGTCCGTGGATACTGCTTTATCTCTGCCTCATTACGGAGCGATCTTTCAGGTTATTTTATCCTGTTTGCTTGCCTTCCCTTTTATCTTTCACCAGTAGATGATGACTAGGAAGTGGCAGCACGCAGGAAGCAGACAGGCGGAGACCCAGGTGGGGAGGCTGCTCCCTCCGGTCAGTCTAACTGGGCTGCGCCTGAGCATCTGAGAACTCTTCTGGAACTTATTCATGCTGAAGCCAACTTAGAAACCGTACAAGAACACCAACACTGTGACTTTACTGTCACGCTTTGTTCTTGAACCTGTTTGTTTACCTAACTTGACCAGACTTTGCTAGGAAGGATTCTTGATCATTACAAGATGAAGCAGTTACATAACAAAGCACTATATATTCAAATGTAAATTTGAGGCACGATCATGTCATAGTTATCATTATAACTTTCAGAATTTAGCTCAACGTCTGGTATACAGTAATTAATTAACAATTGTCAGTTCCAAGTTACGATCATTTAATTTGGGGGAAAAAGAAAAGCGATAAATAAAATTTTCTAAGAATGACTCCAAAATGGAAGTTTCAATGTGTTTTAAACAATGGTAGGTTCAGTGGGTTTAGCACTTGGCCTTCAAAGGTGTCTGAAGGAGGTAACATGAGGTAAGATATAAAAGTCAGTTGTTAATTTTAAAACTCCATCTTATAAAAGATGGGACAGCAACTCTCTCTCCACACATGTGAACACACGCACACACATGCACACACACACACACTCTCAAGTATTTCTAAAACAGATACCTATATACAAAAATACATTTAAAAATTTGTTTAATTTGTAAAATGCACACACACACATAATTTTAAGAGGAAAGAAATACACCAGAACAGTGACAATCTTCAAAGGCACACATTGTCAGCAATTTCAGTCACACTTTACATCGGGGGACAGCAGCTTTATCTGTACAGGGCCAGAGAGTAATTATTTTCAGCTTTGCAGACCGTAAGTCTCTGCCATTGTACCAGTGGGGAAGTGGCCACCGACGAGACATAAATAAATGGGCATGACTGTGTCCCAATAAAACTTTACAAAAACAGGCCAGAGGCTGAACTTGGCCAGCGGGTCACAGTTTGCCAACCTCTGCTTTAGAGCCATCACCCATAGGAAGGGCTCAGATAGAAAAAGATAAAAATCCAGAGAAAGTGGAGCACACCCTATTTTTGGAAGCACGTACATTCAGACTTTATAAAATCCTTTCAGTAACCAAATCTAACACAAAATGCCTCAAAGTCATTACAGAAAGCAGTCTGTGAACTGCCTTTTACGGGATCAAGCCTGCCACCTTCTGGTCACACAACAGAACAGCCTTCACGGTCTCCATTCCCTATTACTAAGGGTCCGTGGTTCCCAAAACTTTGGGGTTTTGGGCGCTGCAGTGACGTGATGAGTCAAGGAGGTCAATGGTAAAGAGCGTGATTGATTTTCAGAAGCCTCAACTTGTCAAATTCTTCCAGAGAGCCAGTGACCAACAGAATAAACTATCATGAGGCTTCCGCTAGAGATCTTTTCTTATCAAGCCAAGCTCCAGGAGGCAATGTGAAAAAAACAAAAACAAACAAACAAACAAAAAACCGAAAACACCAGCAGGGCAAGACTATTCAAAATACCTGCACTCAGATTTTGAAACAGAAGACTATCTTTAAGCCAAGATTTTAAAGGAAAATAAATTCAAAACCCACACTTACTAAATGAACCCAGAGCCTAGAACCGGTCATGGAGAAATAAGTGATAGCAATATGCTGTTCACTGGATTGCTCGTGACTCTCTCTGGACGAGAATGGACGCTTGGCTAGCAGAGAGGGGAAGACGTACACCCAGTCACAGGAAACAAACTCAGGAGTGAGAGAGACACCAGCAAAAGTGGACACTGTAACATGATCGTGGCCACGCGAACGATGCCTGTGCAGGGTCCTGGGGGCCCAGAGGGGGGAGTAACTTCGTGGGATCCCCCGAAGGCTTCACAGGGCGGGACCACTCCAGCTGCTTCTTTGAGACTGAGCACGCGGTTGCCAGAGGGACAGGGAGGCAAGGCGCCAGCAGGCGGAGCAGATGGGGCAGTGCCGACGCTCTATCGAAGAGCCCAATGGAGAAGAGAAGCAAACAAAAGCTCTGAGCATCGTCTACTCTGGGCATCTCACGTCCCCCTGTCACGCAGCAGGCACAGCAGGGCTGGACGCGCCAACGCGAAGGCAGGGGGAGGACTCGGAGCCCCAGCACCTTCCGTGATTCCGGGCACTTCTATGCCTGTCTCCCTATCTCTACCCATAGCCAAGAGACGGCGGCCTCTGCCCTTTCATCTCTCTCCAAAATGACAAACAGCAGCAGCATGGTGAAGCTTTTCATGTGTGACAGGCAGATTTGTAGCAAAACAGTTATTCTCCGAGAAGCAAAGTTCCCTACCCTTTTGACATTTCAACAGGAAGCGCACGCTCAGTCATCAGCTCATCTCACTCACACGTTTGTAAGACCTGCCAGACCCAGTCCACCGAAATATGCGAGCCGCGTGGTCGACGTCCCGGGCCCCTGGCCGACCTGGGCTCGGACGTGCGTCCAGCACTGGGCACAGCCATACCTGGGTTGCTGGCGAGGAAGGCGAGGGGGCTCTCGCCGAGGTCCACAGGGCCGTCCACTCGGTGGGGTGGGCTCTCCAGCAGCTCAGCTCCTCCCTCCAGCTCAGGGTAGGTCCTCACCAGGAGGCCCAGGGATGGCTGCGTCAGGAAATCTTTGAGCATTGATGAGTTCAGGGTGCCGGCAGGACGATTATTGATCTCGAGAATCTCATCTCCCGCCTTCAGGCCTGCCAACGCGAGACGGAAAATGTTCAATTTCACAGGCACACATGCAGCAGCAACGGCGTCGAGTCAGATCGCGATCCCTCAGAAGCTCTGCTGTAAAGGGCACACTGAGCTCTCTTGCTATAGGCCCTGCAGCTCCAGGTGCTGCCACACACACAGACTTGTAGTGATCAAAAGGGATCATCGGGGTGATCATGTGGGCTTCCGTTCCAGAAGGTTCCGAACTCAGATGTTACAGCATGCCTATCCTGTTGTGATACACCAACTAAACCAGTTTATTCCTTCTTTAATCTGTGTGTTCCATGCATCTGCCAGTTTCACCTGACAAATGCCAATTCTGGCTCTTGCCCTACAATTTTGAGGGGGGAAAAAAAGCAGAAACACTGATTACCGTGACCGGTATGTTTTGAACATGCTCACGCTGCAGTGTGCACGTGTGGCACAGCCCACTAACATCTTCTGATCATTTCTACGGAACCAAAACTCAAAGAGCATCCTCTAGCTGCAACCACAGAAGGTCGTCTTATTCCAAACACATTAAGAGACGACAGTTTACAGAACCAAACGCGATCATTTTTCGCCTTTTTTTTTTTTTTTTTTTTTTTGGTTTTTAAACTGCATCAGGACCTGGGGGTGAATATCTTTTGGAAACTTCTCAAAGGTTCTGCTACTTCTGCAAAGCAGGCTAGGGACGGTGCCAAAGTTTGGGGCCCGAAGGAGCAGTCGTGAATAAGCCCAGCCTCGGAGTATAAGAAGTTGGGACCCCAGGTGGGGCAGTTCCACTTGGTATGAAAAGAAAGAACATTCCAGCAGTATGGCAAAGGGAGTGGTTAGGGAAGAACATGAAATAAAGTGTCTTTTCAGCTAAGAAGAAAAAAGGGGCCTAATGCATATTTTAGAGACTAAATGTGGAAAAACAAATTTGAAAAAGGAAGTGAATAACAGTCAGAGACAAATGATAAACTGCAGAAATGAGAAGCCACCTGGCCCCTCTGGCCTCCACAGATCTCACCTCTGATTCTGCAGAAAAATGACGCCGCGAAGAAGTTCTTCCTTCCCCACTTCCTAGAGTCACACCCCTTGGCCATCTATACTCAGGTTTCCAAACTACTCAAAGTCAATTTTCTATCATAAAATACTCCAGGACACATTATGAGTGGGAAGACAATGGAAGAGAAATGAGAATGTTTTTCTCCATATCAGGGGTGGAATTCTGGGACGCTAACCGCTCCCTTTCTAGGTAATAGATTTTGGCATCTCAACATTTAAACTGAAAATACAAAGTTTCTAGTGAAAACTAGTTTTGTTTTGTTTTGTTTTAAGTCTTCTCTTGTTGACAACCCTTTTGGTTAGCTGTTAGAGGAGGTACTATAAGGAGAAAGAAAAAAAAAGACTTAAAAAACTAAAAACCTCTATGAGTTGTTTTTTTTTCTTAAGGAAGTTCCTTCCAGGTTTACTATGAGTGGTAAAGCAGGTGTCTGTAGTGGGTTAAATGGATGGCCCCCAACAAGATATGTCCATACCCCCAAACCTGTGAATGTGACCTTATTGGGAAACAACATCTTTGCAGCTGTTCATTAAGTCAAAGATCTTGAGATAAGATCACGCTGGGTTATCTGATGATGGATCCTAAACCTTAGATCCTGACAAAGAAGAGGAGAAGGCCATGTGAAGATGGAGGCAGAGACTGGGGCGCTGCTGCCACAATCCAAGGACTCCTGGAGCCACCAGACACCAGAAGAGGCAGGAAGAATTCTCCCCCAGCCTTCAAAGGACGTGTGGCTCTGCTCCCACCTTGATTTCTGCCTTCCAGCCTCCAGAACTGTGAGTGAGAAAGTTCTGTTGTTTTAAGCCACCCAGTTTACGGTAGTTTATTATGGCAGCCCTAGAAAACGAATACAGGAGGCAACCTGAGTGAGTTATTCTCGGTATTAATAAGTCAGGGGAGGTGGCCCACAGTGGTGAGCAGTGATATGTGCTCTGCTGGGGTCCTTCTGTCACAATTCTACCAAGTAGCAGCTCTGTGTCTGTGAGCATGTTATCGAATCTCTCCCAGCCTCACTTTCCTTGCAGGTAAGAGGGATAATGGGTTAAATGAGATTAAATGAAATAATCCACAGAAAGCTCTTAGGACAGCACTTGGCACACTGAAGATATGTGATACACATTAAACCTCGTAATTAACATCTGGGAGAAAGAAGAGGAAAATTTTTCTTTCCAACAGAAAACCGCAGCCTGCCGAGAACTAACCTCCACCTGGGCATCGTAAAAGTTGTGAAGTACCCAAGCTGTCTCTAGAAAAATAGGACACACAGGTTTCTCCACCGGGCTCTGTCCCATGTGCCATCAGAAAAACACGTAAGGTGACAGCAAAGATGCCAGACTCCAACTTCAGCTGACTCCAAGAGAAGAATGAGGGACCAAAGACGAACATGCCCAAGGTGAGCAGAGATAAGTATAAAAAATAACTCTTTGGTTCAAAAAGTCAATCCTACAAGTACAGCCCATGTGACATCCAGCTGAGAGCAGATGGCAGGAGGGAACAGGAATACGGGGACTAACCATCAGCCCAAAGCCCAAGATGGCTCACAAAAATATATAAGTAAAAACCCAACAAGGCTGAATTGGTGCAAACAGAACATTCAGATAGAATTAGGCTGGTTTCCACCAGACTTCCCCTGGCTGCACCACGATCTGGTCATTTTAAGAGAACAATGGCCCCTGGACTATGTCCAGAGGACAATGCCCAGAGTTGTAGCCTATACCCCAATAAAGGCTTGAAGGAGCTGGAGGTGCTGACTGTGAGCAAAGACAAACACAGCCATTGTAAAACGATGGAGAGCAAAGGCTGGCTACAGAGGAGGCAAAACAGTGACGGAAAGCTGAGGAGGAGGATGTTTTGTGATCAGAACTGTCCACGAAGAGGCTGTGTGGTCCAGAGCGAGCTCTCCAGCATCGACGGGTCTTCACGCAGAGGCTAGATTTAACATAAAATACCCCCAGGAGCCAGGTATCAGAATAGCGTTTCTGGCCCAGGTGGACAAATGGACATCCCTCTTTCAACGGTAGAAAACAGCACCACACAGGGCAAGAAGGTTAGAGCGGCCGACCGTTTGTTTTTATCTGACATCAGTGTTCTTGGATTCAAAGAACTTAAACAGGATGTGACTAAAACCAGGGCAGCATATTTCCCCACCCCCATACCATGCCAACCGGCACACTCACTGTGCTGAAAGATAAGCATCAGCCTTGGGGTTTGAACGGGAAGAAACCCTGTCACTTCTGGTCTTAGCTGAGATACAGCTTAGTGAGTGTGTCAAACTTGGGCCTCCAGGCTGCCTGTGGCCTAGAAAGTACGCAAAGAAAATGAAGGAAAATCCTCTTCTATGACAGTTAGCAGTGTATCTGAATTACTTTGACTTAATTCCTCCTTTGTAAACCCTTTGCCATTTCTGTGCATAGCCAAGTCTGTGGATGCACTTCTCCAATGCTTACAAGTGTAGGGCAAACACACACACACACACACACACACACACACACACACACACACACACACAGGCAGCTTGCAAGCCATGAACACCCAAAACTAAGCTGTACAGAACATGGGAGGAGGTGGAGAAGACCCGCCTTCCATCCTTTTCCCAGCGTCTCCCTTCAGCAGCTCTCCAACAGAACGGACAAAAGTCTTCTATCTAAGCACGACAGGCCCAGATGTGCAGGTCTTTACATTCAACGGGTACTATTTTGACACGGCCTGGATACAACTAAAAGAAGAATGAAATGAAGGTGGATTTTGAGCCCTACCTTCCTGCTCAGTTTGCTTACGGTGAGTATGGTGGGTTAAAGAGTGTCCCCCCAAAATCCATGTCTACCTAGTACATCAGAATGGGACCTTATCTGGAGAAAGGGTCTTTGCAGATGTCATTAAGTTAAGAGGCGGTCATAATGGATTAGGGTGGGCCCTAAATCCAATGACTGGCCCTCTTATAAGAAGGCCATGTAAAGACACAGAAAGACATGCAGGCAAAAAGGCCATGTGATGACAGAGGCAGAAATTGAAGAGATACAGCCATAAGCCAAGGAATGCCAATGGCCACCAGAAGCCAGGAAGAGGCATCGAACAGATTCTTTGCTCACAGGCTCCAGAAGGAAACAACCCTGCCCATACCTTGATTTTGAACTTCTGGCCTCCTGAACTGTAAGAGAATACATTTCTGTTGTTTATAATCACTCAGTTTGTGATCATTTGTTACCGTAGCCATAGGAAATCAATACAGGAAGCAAAAAATCTAGATCGAAAAATTCTCTCAGAGTAGAGAGAAGATGGAGAGTTGGGGTTCCACAAGGGGCCTAGGCTGCACTACGAGCCCTGGTAGGGGTGCAGGCAGAGTGTGGCAGAGAAGAACTCTGTAAGAGGGGCAAGAAGGTAGGATCCTGAACCCCCAGGTTCTCAACTTCTGCAAAGATTCCTCCAGGAATGGCAGCAACAGAGCATCTGCTTTGAAGGAGCTTTGCAGGCCCAAGCGATGGCCAGTGTCAGCTCTGACCAGTGTGGACCAAAGCGCAGAGGGGTCTTCGCAAAAGTCCTGAAGATCCTAGGAAGGTGCCCCAGGACCTCCATTCAATCCTAGACAATGGAAGGACAACCACTTATAATCAGTATGGGATTTCCCACCAGTCCCATGGAAATAAGCTCAGAATCAGATTTTTAAATCCAAGAATGTGACATTTCTTACTCACCTGAGGTTATGGAATAATTTTCATATTTCTTGGAAGAGTTTTCAATGAGACAACATTCCAATACTCTTTACAGATGAACCTTTTGGGCATATTTTTCTCATCCACCAAACAGAGAAACCCAGATGGGAATTTAAGAAAGACAGAATATTCAGTGACTTACCTTTCTTGGAAGCTAAACCAGTTTCCTTCACCCTATTAACGTAGAGCTTCCGAACACCGTCTTCTTCCACAGAAGAAAGCGAAAACCCTGGGAAACACAGACAAAGTGGTAGGACCCACACTTTCTGAGTGTTTAGCAAACAACAGGAAGTACCTGCTGTGAACTAGGTACGTGCAGTGTTTGGGGTTGTAGTTTGGAACAATCGCCTTTCCTTGTTCATGCTGTTTTACAAAGTAGAAAAACGTATTTTTAGATTCACTCTAAAAGAAGGCACTAATTGTAAAAATAAATATTACCAGGCACATCAATCTTCATACTACCTACCTGTCAACTCGAATGGAAGAAAGTTATTTTATTTTACTTTGCTTGCTAGTCAATGCCATAATTTTGCCTTTTTCATAGTCTCCTCCACAGCACAAACCAGGATAATTAGCGTATCTCATCGGAGTCCCCTTGACTGTTTTCAGCAGTCTTTGTCCTAGGATATATTACAACTGAATACCTGTATGGTGCTTATTCATCCATATGTATTGCTACATGGATATGCCTGGATAAAATTCTGCACATAAGGTTAAGTAGCAACTCACTTTACAAATCCCATTTCATAATGAAACGAACTGATTCCTCATTCTACTAGTGTCTGATCAGAAGATCATCTTATACTTGTCCTATTTTTCTAGAGCTCAAAGCTCATTAGTTCATTCATTCTGGGCTTTGCTACGTTCATCAGAAAAAAAAAAGGGGCAAGACAAGGTCCCAAAGTTTTAAGTGTGTGGGGACCTTGGGTGCTCCCAATCCTGTGGCTACAAGCTCTGATCATCTCTGTTTCTAGAAAGTCTCATGTAAAACTCCGTTCTGCTCAATTAAGGAAACGTCCAAAACAAGTACCTGCTTTTCCCTCAGGACAAAACACTTTGGCAGATCCTGCTAAAAGAGCAATAAATGCAATTGTAAAGATGTGACATAATTTCAGCTCTGGGAGAAGAACGATCCCATAATATAGATACCTGTCTTAAGGCTAAAGGCAGAGGAAAAAACAGTGGTTTAAACAACCAAACAAGTAAATAACAACAAAACAGAATAATTAATTACAGGACTGGAGGCCAGGGAGTCACTGTAACTTTTCAAGCTGTGTGTTTTCTTCAATGTGTGCTTTTTTGTCTTAATCACAAGACCAGGAAATAGATACTCACACGTAGGCAAAACTTCCAACTGCCATCACCCACTACGGTACCATAACTCTTTCGGACGGGTAACGACATAAGGCCACCACCCCGTTAATTTAATTTTATTTTGAATTCTATTCTTATAGCAACTTGTTGCTTTCAGATTATGTTTCAAGAAGCCCCCACTCAAATAAGAATAATTTTATACACGAGCCGTTTAAGTGACGTTAGACTTAACACAGGTGTCTTTCTCTATATTTCAGGAGAGAATTTTTTAAAAATCTGTTACAATAGACAGACAATCGAGGGATATATCAAGGGAAAGGATGGATAGAATTTACTGAAATATAGGCATTTCCCTTCTAAAACGCTACTATTTTGCAAAATTCTGAGACTAAAACTTTTTTTCCTGTTAAAAATAAAAGGCACACGCTGACAGAGTGCCAGGGGACCAGCCTGAATGGCAGATCCAGGAGAGGTGACTGTGGAGAGTCTGCTGCAAATCACTTTACGACAAAGTCAACAGACATGGCTGAGGTAGCACCTGCTCCTTCCCTCTTTACTTGGTCTTCCCTTTTAATAATCAAAAGGTAAAATGAGATGGGGAGGAGCCATCCAGCATGAAGACTGCAAGTGACTGAAATTCGCACTAGGCGACTGGGTACCCACGTGGATGGATCTGAGAAACGGATCAGACTTCTCAAGTTGATGGGAAAATCTCTGGCTAGGGAAGGGGATAGAAGAAAGAGAATGCCAATAAGCTCCTTTTCGAAGATCACGCAAATGGAAGCCAACAATTTACTAATGGACGTGGGCGTGGCACGTTAGCTGTGCCCCGGAACCCCTACTGGAGGACACCCACGTAGGGCTCAAGCAAACAGGAGCTCCTGTCAGGTCAGAAACACAGCCCACCCCACACCTGGCTGTGCCCCGCACACTCCTGTGGAGTCTCAATGTCTGATCCCAAGGGGCAGCCTCTATTTCAAGATGCCGGGAATTTGCACACTGGAGAGGGGATTGTGACCATCTCCTACGTTAACAGATATAAAAAAAAATATTAAACATCTTACAGCTGGATTATTTGGAGGTAAATGAAGAACACAGTGATTTTCACGGCAAATCGGCAAAGTCAGAATTATTTTTTTCCTTTTATGATAGCAACATTCTAATTCCCAGCAAAAAAATGCAACATGGCCCCAAATGATATACCACAGGGAATAGAGTGATTCAATATAAATCAATGTATCTACGCCATCAGAAATCTTTCAGTTACAAAGGCCAGCAGGCACCATGAGTGGCCACTGGGATAATGATCTTGACAATGAAGGAAGTGATTAAAACTAAGTGTAGAAGCTAAGAAGACAAACTCGTAAGTCGAACAACCCGAGATCACTTGTACTAAAATTCATGACCCATGAAAAGTCATGACACCATAATAAACGAGAGCAACACTCAAACTAGATGCCAGGAAACACTGAAATTCAGAAAATGAGAAAAGTTCCATTTATCTCAGATACCTATGACATAAATGGAACAAATGACCAAAAATAAAACCGTGTAAGAAGTTTCTTAAGAAAAAGGAATGCGAGGTTGCAGAAAGGATGCATCTCCCACTTCGAGGCACGCTTAGCCTATCACGTAACCGCTTGAACTAATGTCACAAATAAGGTCTGAGGGTGACCTGTGGGCTGAGATGGAGAAATTAAACAAGTGTTAAATCTTTCAATGTGTTCAGTCTGTTAGATTATTAAATCGTATCTTCCTCCTTTCTAAAGTGTTCAAAAAGAGAAGGCAGCATTCGGTCGGTAGTTAGATTTCTGTGTGTCAATGTGCGCTAATATCATTTACATACACTGAACTCAATATCTAGCGGGAAGCCACATGTAGAAGTGCTAATATTAGATACAGATGAGCTGAATGTAGAATCCTGGGTAGTTTGGAGGTCAGAGGCAATCAGATCTCGTAGGATTACGGGGCTCTTGAACTTTTTCAATCGAAATGCTGCTGGAATACCCTATGCCAACATGAAATGGGCACTGAGAATAAATGGTTTAGCTGAGGTTATTCGCCACGCGGTAGCAGACTTTTCAAAAGGAGTCCAAGAACCCGTACAGTTTGCTGCTGAACATCACGTCATCAAGGACAGAAATGGAGGCTTAAACCTTGAGAACCTAGCAGTTTGTCACTGCCACAACCTCCGAACATGACATTTTGTAGTTCACAAACAAGACTGGCCCACGACAAATCGGAAATTGCAAAACAAAAAAATCTGCTTCTTTGTCAGGTAGTTTCAGAAGCACCGTTGACGATAATTTCTAGCTTGATGACTGATGCCCTTCCAGTCTGTCAGGTAGTTTCAGAAGCACCGTTGATAATTTCTAGCTTGATGACTGATGCCCTTCCAGCACCTTTAGTGTGGAAATGTAGATGGGTTCCATGAGCACTTCAGTCACTTTAATAAAATAGTATAAAAAGTGTAGTGGTTTATGCCCAGTTTCTATTTCCAAGACCAAAGGCCAGTCAGAATTCGATTCGAGAGCTTTGCATTTCAGCCCTTTCTGGCTTCCTGATACAGTTTATCCTTCCTCAACAGAAACTCAGTAACGAGTAAAGAGTAACCGTCATGGTGTGTCTTGGAGGAACTGCCCCATATTTATAGGACTGCGACTAATCACGGCATTAATTACCGAGGTCATGCTTCTCCTGCATAAATAAGCCTTTTATTTACACAATTATCCTTTGCCATCGAAAACATCCTCTGGCTTTATGATGTCTTTAGTTTTAAGTTCAAGGGTAAACGGTGTGAAAGTGTAATCCAAGAGGCTCGGCTTCAAAATCAGGTTCTCTTCATTAGGCCAGGATACTCTAATGAGCATTCTGAGGTGCAGGTTGCCTTGGGGAGAAGCTGCACTAGGAATCTAGAATCCTGCCGCTCAGTAAAGGGTTTGAAGATTTTCAAATGCTAAAAAGCTTAATAATTTAATTTAGAGAGAAACTGTAAGTGAGCGTATGCGGTCGCCTTTGTATCTTTTCTAGAAAACCAGGTTTCCTTCTAGCACATAAGACTACACCTGTGACCCCCAGGAGGTAGGTGTGGCCACGTGACTTGCTTTGACGAATGGTGAGCCAGCACCTGATCCACCACCTTCTCTTTCTCTTCTGCGAAGAGACAATGTCCCAGGTGGCAGCTGTGCAGGCTGGGTCATGGAGTGAGGACAATATAAAGAAAGAGTTCCAGCCAACCCACAAAGGATGCATGGTGAATATGACAAATGCATCTCACTGTTCAGAGTCACTGAGCTCTGGCGACTGTCATTAGCTCGCCTAACCTCTCCAGTCCTGACAGATATGGCACAGTATGGGTTTTCCCACATATTTTACTCAGGCACCATCTCTTTGACTATTCAAGTCAAGCTGGCCTTCTGTTTCCCTGGGTTCCACACTCAACCAACTGCAGATCGAAAATATCCACCGAAAAAAAAAAAATCTAGAAAGCCGATCCCTAAACAATATAGTATAACAACTACTTACATAGCATTTATATTGTATTAAGTATTATAAGTAATCAAGGCATGATTTAAAGTATATGAGATGTGCTAAGTGATAAGTAAATACTATGCCATTTTATATACTTGAGCATCTTCAGATTTTGGTATCCTTCAGGGTCCTGGCACCAATCCCACATGAGCACTGAGTGACAAAAGTAATGCTAAGCAAAGAAGACTTGTCTTAAACATATGGAAAGGATTAGATATTTAACCATGCCAGAATGCAGACAGCTGTGTGGTAAAGAGCGTTCACACAGCAGGACTGACTGCTATTCTCTGAAAGACATGCTCACAAGTTTGGGCCCTGGCTGGCATCTGGGAACCTGGATTTGGGGAGAGTTCCCAATGCCCGAACATGGCTTTCTGTGCCTAAACGGTACAGAGAGTGTGGTGTGTGTTGAACACCTGCTTCCTTCCAGGGGTCTGGAATTTTGTTTTGATATACGCTAGGCAGAGGGTGCCTACGTGACCAGCTTCCCAATAAAAACCATGGGACTGAGTCTCTAATGAGCTTTGGTAGACGCTGTCACGGCTTGCTGCTGGGGGATTCAAGAACATCCAATGTGACTGGAGGAGGATTCCTGGATGCTCACGCCTGGATTCCTCAAATTTTGGCCTCCACCCCGCCTTTTTCTTTTATTATTGATGTTGCTTTGTACAGGTTCCCTATAATAAATCATTGTCATGAAGATGATCATATACTGAGCCCTGAGTGCCCTCTTGGTGTGTCAGTGAACACAGGGGTAGTCTTGGGGACCCCCAAAACAACACCGAAATAAATTCCTTAAACATTATTTGGCGGAGCGAGGGAGGAAGAATAATGCATATGTTTTGGGGAGAGAAATGTAAAAGGATAATTTCTTCATTACCAGGGCACATCATGATATAAAATAATCTATTCCCAATGTATCCATTTCCTTTTTATGATAGTAAAACCCCGTTGATTACAGTTATGAAATTTAAAGTTGAAGTCTTCATCGTACCCAGAGTGGATATCTCTTCTCTTTCTAGTTTGGCTGCTTCACACAGCACAGAAACCAGATGTGCTATCTGTTCTAAATTGGCCCCAAAGGCATTTTTTTGAATTGTATATAAGTACATGTTTACACAGGAAATGCTTTAACTTGAAAAACACCGAAGATCAAAGAAAAATAAACGTACCATAATTATCACTGGCTGTGTCTGACTTCTCAATCTGGATGTTCTGAGTGACTTTTGGACAAATTTCAATTTCTTTGTACAGCTGAAAATCACAAAGAAAAGTCTAATTAGGATTTCACTATAAATAACTTATTAGGAATCGTCATCATTTTGTAAATCTGTGTTTTCACGATTGATACTTGGAAGTAAATTCTCATTACATCCCTGTGTTTTCATGGAACAGAACCCATTAAAAGCCGAAGCAGAAACATATAACTCATAATCTCACACTTAGCTACAGTTCCAGTTTCTAAATAATTCCTCCACATAACTCTATATAACTCCAGATGTCTTTTCCCACCCTGTATCTATCATTTGAATCCAGGTCTCGCCAGCTCCAGAACTAAAGTTCTCTCTACTACACTATAATGCTTCCCAGGCTACTTCCTGGTAGGACTTGGTACCAAAGTAAATGGAAACAACCTTCCTAAGTAAGCAAGCCAAAAGCCATTTCCGAAATTTATGGTAAAAGTTCCCAAACAAAAAAATATGTCAATGATATGTCAGTGGTTCATGTGGAATTTAAAATTTTTCACTCAAAGACAAAGTAAAGACCTATTCTGAATAAAGGTCAATAACAGAAAACTGCTCTCTAGTACTGAAAAGAATTCTTGGTAGTTATCTAAACTTGCCCCCGTCTCTGCCCATGCAAGTCATTCATCTAGAAATAATGTTATTTGGGCAAGGAGGAAAGAATGCCAGTTTTTCTCTCTCCATTTTCTTAGGGCATTTGACAGGTGCCAGAGGTGAGCAAAGTGCTTAGGATTCAGGAGACTGACAACAGTATAATAAAAACCCAAGGGAGGCAGGGAACTAAGAACTTGATGGTACAGCCCGATTCTCTCAAACACCCTAACTTTATACATCTTCCACCAAATCCTGTGTTAAGGGCATAACTCCATGTGGTTTTATTTTTATACTTCAGAACATTTTTCATACAAATAAATTCTGAAAATAAAAGAAATCAGTTAGAATACTGATCTTTAGTTCAGGAAAGATGCTCACCAAAATTATAAATACTAAATAGAATAAATTTTATGACATATTTCATAACGCCACAGAATGCTCAATAAAATGTTATGTGTTCACGTCAACTTATTTTGAGCTTCAGATTTCTTTTTTTCAATTTGTTGGAGAACCAATCTCTTCCCCTAGGTGGCAGTATATCACTGTTCGTTCTAATCATCTCCAGAAAGTTCTAAATGCTTTTTCAAAGACCCAGTGAGAATATAACTCTGCGAATAATTTTTCCTATTCTTTCATATTCTACCTCCTACTGTGTAACTAAAAGTCTTTGAGTCTTTAACCAGTCTCCGGCAATAACTTACAGTCATATAGACAGACCCCTTAGCTAAGTACTTTCTTAGGTTGGTTAGACTAAAATTGAGCTTAGAAAAAAGCACTGATAAAATATATAAAAGTTCAAGAAGGGTCTGTATTTTAATATATTTTCAATGCAACCACAATATCTGAAACTAGAAGTTTTGAAATTTGGTAGTTTTATACATAAACATCTTTAACGAAGAAGTGTCACATACATTCCTTTTTTTTTTTTTTTTTTATCAAATCAATGATGTTGCTTGTTTTCACTCTTCGAAAACCAGAATAAATGATCAGCAAACTTTAAGAAATAATTTGATTACCAAGGCACTTGTGTTATCATAACATCGCAGTCATTCCTTATCATGGAATGGGTACCCTGGTCCAAGCCACCATGACCCACACTATCTGCACACTAGCCTCCTGCCTGGTCTCCCAGCTCCTTCTCTTACGCCCTAAGGTCCACTGGCCACACATCAGCCACAGTGAGCCTATCAAAGCAGAAGTTAAATAATGTCTTTCCTCTCCCGAGATTTCCCTTCTCACTTGGGCCCTACATGGCCTGTCCTGCTCCCTTTCTCCCTCATCTCCTGAATCCCCATCCCCCTCCATCTACCCTGACCATCGATCATCCTCATACATCTTCCAAAATATCTCCCTGGCTCATCCTCTCTCATTTCACTCACCTCCCTGTTCAAACATCGCATCTCAAAGAGCAGAACAACTCACTTCCGGAAGTCTCATCTCTATCAGCTTTCCAAACTTTTTCTTTCCAAGCTCTTACCATCTCCTGAAATATTACCCATATTTACATGTTTTTATATCTGTCTCCACAAATTTGACTGTTGGTTCATAAAGAGTAGAAAGTTTTTTTTGTGTGTATCCCAGTGTCTAGAACAGCTACAATGGCGCCTGGCACACAATAAATGCTAAATAAATATTTGCTGGGTGAATGAATATATCGATCATCGGTGTTTCGGCAAACCCTTTATTCCAACCTGTCACTTCAGGAAAAACACATTTAATAAGGCTTTTTGTAAAGCTAGTGCCTCCATGTTCATTATTATTCCATAGACTGGTCCCAACAACCAAGTAATCATGGAAACGTAGCCAAACATATACCACTTATATTAAAACACAAAATATTTGGGGACAGTATTCTATTGATGGGTTATTTTTGAGGCTCCAACTTCAAACATCTGCAAGCTTTCCTAGTCCCTCAAAAAAAAATGGCAGTGGGCTATGGACATCAACTAGCCACGGGTGGTCTGATGCTTATTCAATAAGGGTCAATACACTGAATACCTGCAAACTCTCAAAAAGCATCGAGGAACACTATATGCTCAGAAAACCTCTGCCTTTGAATGACATTACACACAGCTAAATAGCCTAAAGCAGAGATTGGAAACAAGGGACCCACGGAAGGAATTCGAGGGGTCTGTGAAAAAAATAACAACAACATAACCTGTAACTGAAACTTAGCATTTTCTTCAATCATACATGAATAGAGGCAACAAACACAGGAATATTAGCAATGCCTATGACCTTGTCGCAAACAGAAATCACAGTTATTTTAACATCACAGTCTACTTGCTGCTAATATCTCGAAAATATTGCTTATGCTCACCACTACTTCAAAACAATGGCAGCTATTAGACATACCCCTATGTCTTCACAGTTAATGAGTTAACTAATAAATACGTGAGCACATATATTGGCCATAGGTAATCCTACGTATTTTATTTCAGGCAATTGAAAACGTTACTCTAAGACAGATCTAGAAGCTTCACCAGGCTGCTAAAGGTACCCCAAAAGAACAAAAAAGTTAAGAATTTTAGTAAAAAATCAAGGGGTGAGTAATACTAACTTGCAACCCGAGCAATGACATTTGCGTCCTCAGGGATCTCTGAGTTGGAGACCTTTTGCAATAGTTACAAAAGAATACCATGGTCTCTCTGTATTACAGGTTCTTTTCTTAAAAATTATAATTATAATATGTATATAGCAATTGTGGATACAGACAGAGTAAGCTTGGCACAACTTAGTCTCTTCTGTTAGATGAGACCATACAATGAGCAAGACTTAAAAATAATAAGTATGTCAATATAATTTCAAATGATAAGTCTCAAGCACGGACATGGAAGTGGTTAGGTGAGACCCAGTCATTTAGGATAAGAAAGTTATTAACCCCAAGATGCAAAATATGATCTAATTCATTCCGGTGTCATGAGCAAAGTTCTCTACTCTGTTAAGACTTATTAGTTTAAGTGATGGTTGAAAATGGACCCATCATTTTGATCTTCTACTACATAGCAGGATGAGAATGTTACAAAAACATAGCCCCTCTTATGCTTCATGAAAAACGCTTCAAGGAGCACAAGGAATCTTTTTAGGAGAACAGAAACATTCTAAATTACAATCGTAGTGGTGAAAGTGTGACTGTATGCATTTGTCAAAACTCATTCAACTGTGTGCTTAAAATCGGTGAGTTTTAGTGTATATAAAATAGATGTCAAAAAAAGTTGATGAAAGACATAATTCCTACTAAATTTTAAACCACACTTCCCCTTTTCCAGAAGACACTACTCAGATTTAAATTTTCAGTTCTGTTTTCTGTGGTGAAACCCTATCTATCTTAGCCACCCGGTTATCACTCACAGTTCCATGGCAAGCAGCTCGGTGGCCCCAGAGGAATGACTAAGTGCAGAGAGCGAGCAAACTCCAAGATACAGGGGCTTTGCTCCCAAAATGTTCCATTCCTGGAACTGAAAACCGTACCCCTTGGCTAACAAAAAAGGAACTTGTCACTATTTTATTACCATAACAACCATTTATTGAGCATCTACTATGTGATCCATTATCTCCGAGCTTCACAAAATCTTAGAAATAAAGTATTATCATTTCTTTTTTTTTTTTTTTTGCCAATATCACATAATTTGCAAGCAGTAGAGCCCAATATAAAGAACCTGAGTCCCATAATGAAACTCAAACATACATAAATGTCACCAGGAATCTATGTAACTATAATTACAAAAGGCTGGGACATATAATTAGATAGCAGCATTTTCACCAACAGGACATGACCCTTTGATTCCAATATATAGGTAGAAATAACACAAAACTGGAGTTAGTGCTTTTTTCCTGACAACAGCCAGCTGATCTTTGAGTCATCAATTTAAAACAAAACACTGGCGAAGTTACAAGGAAAGCTGAGAATTCTAAGAGTCAGCTTTGGATTTCCATTCTTCGTGAGAGCACAGCAAGGCTCCTTATATAAGCAAAAGTGGCATTTCCACTCCGTGGAAATACTGTGACATGGCCATCTCCACAAACTTTAGAGCTCTGAATGAGGCTCGTTTATTTTAGAATTTGTTCCATTTCACTAACCACAATTAGCATGAGCACATATATAAGTTAAAAATAATCTCCCACGGAATGTCGGCAGGACAACAGTCATAAACATTACCAGCTCGTAAATGTCCTCCTCGGGCTTTGGAACGTAGTGCTGCATTTTGTTTTCTATTAGAAATTTCAGACGCAAATAATGAGCAGAATGATCCAGTTGATGTGTCTGGGACAAAAAGAAAGGAGAAGAGGAGAAAATGTTCAATAGTAAATAGGAATCAAACATAAGTTCTCCACTGACATATCATCACGTAGTCCCGAAAATAATAGAGATTTGTTACTGGAGAGATGGGGGTGGAAAGTCTCTGTACTTCTTATAAGGTTTACATCTAAAACCCAAACTTTAGAATAATATTTGTTGAACATATTAATAATATTCCATTGGTATCTTATGAATTGACGGAAACAACTGAGTGACACCTTCATTTCTGCCTATCTGATTTATCACGCTCTTTAACCCCGGTTTTGCAACAAAACCCATCAGACTAAAGAAACCCTTAAACATAATTCCAAACGTACAAAAGTGATTAGAGAAGAAAAGGGACAAGAAAGGCAAGGAATTATTGACGGTAATAGAAAAAAAATGGGCCCAGGCGAAGTTATTTGTTTAACCACATGGGGACGCTGGGACAGTCATTAACAGTTCATTTGCAAGCAAGTCAGTGTGAAGACAAGACATTTAGATTTCTGTCTTATTTATATACACCCAGAGTGAGACTCCCTCAGGGGCAGCGCAGACAGGCATGTGTCCAACTTCAGAAACACACTGAATGACTTGCCCAAAGAAAACAATTCTAAAACAGTTAAGAATTGAAATTTCTAGGATTTCTACTTTGGTCCAGAATGGGATGGACTGATTTTTTCCTACCTAGAAAGTAATCCTTGAATTAGTGTTGCAGAAAAAGCAATAGTGACTATATGGTTTTATAAATAATCCTCACTATACACTCAAGATGATGCAGAGGAAAAGAACATGTTCTTCAAAAGTTACATGGCAGCATGAAAATGAATCGTAGAGAGAAAATGTTTCAATCAAGTCATGATTTTAAAGCATCCTTATCTTTTAGAGATTTACCCTAAAGTACTGGTTGACAAAGATATGATGTCTGGAAATTGCTTCCAAAATTATTCAGAGTAAGAGGTGGGAGCGAGTTAGTAAATAAATGAAACATAATTTGATAATTACAGAACCCTGGTGATGGATACACAGGAGTGTATTACATTATTTTTCACTCTTACACATACGTTTGAAATTTTTCATAAATATAAAATCCCTTCATATCGAAAGAGCTACATCTGATGACGATTATTTCAATATAAAGGAAATTAATTTTTCCCTTGTTTAATACTCCTTTTACTTGCCCTATTCCCACCCAAATAAAAATTTAAGCCCAAACTAAGAACATTCCGATAATTATTTCAATAAACCATTAATCGCATCTAGAAAAACTCTTAAGTATACCAGACACTGTATGAAACACTGCAAATGTGGAAATTAAAAACACATAAATGTGGTCTTCAGGAGTGTGTGTGGCCATGAGGAGCGGGTGTGCAAAAATTGGGAGGTGGGACAGTGGTGGTTTTGCTTTTCAAATAAATATGCACGCAAGACAGGCATCTGCACGTTTACAAAAAGCACATTTTGGAAAGTGGAAATGAGTTCATTCTGAAACCTAGCAGAAGGATAAAGAAGTTTCTTACAGTGATTCTTGGGAATCCCCAATGGGGATCCTCCCTGGAGTATAGTGATCGTTTGAAGCCAACCCAATCCCATGTACCTGGCTTGGGGGCGTTCACCTCGTGTACTGAAGACCAAATAAACACCCGGTGTCCAACAGACCTGGACCACTGAGGTCAAAGATAATACGGGCGGATGGGTAAGCCAGGGAAATGCAAAGCACGAAAGTTTTAAAGTGCTCTATCTACTGCCTGTCAGAGAGTTGCTGAGACAAACAACAAAATAATAACATTTAGGGTGATAGGATAAGAAAAAAGAAGTGTCCCGCAGAGAGACGGAAGCTGCAAATGCTTCCCACCTACCTAGGTCCTCCCTGAAATCTCTAATTAGAAGCGAAAAATTTCGGTTCGCCATCCGTTTCCGATCGAGGTGGGAGGAAAAGAGAAATGAAACTTCATGGGGTCTTGGTCAACAGAAACAAATCCACGAGGAAACCTTATCGTCACCACTTATAAACATGATGGGGACACTCCCATTGAGGCTGCCGCTTAACCAGAGTGACCTCACCCAAGAAACTTCTGGTTCCTAAAACCTCAGTGTGAGAGAGGGGACGGCCCGCGGCCAGGCACCAAGATCTTAGAGTGGTCCTGATGAAGACTGTGGAGAGTCCATCACCCCTTAAAGCTACTGTGCCGAAAACACTTCTACAAATGTACATAGGATGATAAACGACGGACGGTGGACGCCCCTGTCGAGGTACCGCCCTTACACGATCTAACAGCGACGGGAACAGAAGAGTGACGAACGTAACAACGCTAACAAGGATGAGTCCTTCCACCCTCCCCTCCACCACCATGCTTTTCAAACTTAACTTTGAAAAATAAACATGAGTACATCCAACAAACATATAAAATATAATGGCCCTCAATTAGGTCAGTAGTTACTGTAAACATGGGACATTGGATCAATACGCCAGTGTGTTTTGTCATTTTGGTAAATGTTTCTCAATAACGAGCCCTTGTCAGTCATGGCTGGTCTGACAAAGAGAAAATCCTAATGAAGTAAACTAAATCAGAACCCTCAAGAAAAATTTCACGCTCTTCAAATACCTGCAAGTCAACATCAAAGCAGATCAAGCAACTGACCATGTTTACAATACATCTATGTGCAAAAAGAATTCCAAACAGTGATGAATATTTTAACATAGAAATTCTAAATGTTTGGCCTGCGTTAGACTTATAAAAGATTCAAGAGAAAATTTCCTAACCCAAGAGAAATTCAGTTAGGAAAAAATTTTAACCATACAAATTTGTTTTCCAATATACAGTTACTCGAGTAGGCCTTAAATTTATTTTTGAGGCAATGCAGCCATAAATTATATCATAAGATAAATATTATTGTAGAACAATTTTTAGTTTAGTTGGCATATTTTTTTAAAAATTTGCATCTTACCATGACTACTTCAAAGGATGAAATAGCAAAACACAATGTAGAACTTTTTAGTAAATAGTTTGAGCCAATTAAAATAGATAATATAACATGAACTAACTTCCAATTCATCATGTTTTGCTTTTCTATTCCTCTTGATAATCTTCCATGTCAGTCAAACTTCTCAGGGAAACGTAAATGCATATATTTACTATGTACAGAAACCATGAACACACAAAGAGCTATCGCAGAATTTCCAAAGGTATTTATCCTCCCCTTCAAGGTGACCTTTTTTTAAATACCAATGATTATTAGAATATCCAAAGCCACAGGCCAACATAGTAAAGGCTTAAATAAAACTGATTCCACGGTCACACATAAATAATAACAGTGCATATGAATGAATGAGTTTTTTTTTTTTTTGCAATTATTTTAGTAATTGCAATGATAGAAATATGTCCAAAACCCACAGGCCAACATGGTTACCCACTATATTCAGCAACAATCATTTTTGTAATATCCGCAATATGAATCATACATGAAATGTAGATCTAGAAACATTTACTATACCAGAACTTGACTGGTGCTCGGATGGCAGATGACAAACTGATGTAAAATGATGTGGATCAGATAGAATAGGAAAGAGAATGAGCTGAATGCAAGAGACAGAAGAAAGAGATTATTAAATGTTAGAGAAAGCATCTATCGCCAACGTTGAGAATGATAATAAAGAAATAAAAGACAGACATTCTGGTAATCACCTTTGTTTTTAGTCCCTCTTCCCACCACCACCCCC